AAGGACCTGTCCCTCCTCACAACATGTCCAAAGTATGTCAGACAAAGCCCCAGAATCCTTGCCTCCAAGGAGCAGCCTGGTTTAACCCTCTCCAGGATAAATCTGTTTTAACCTATACAGAGGAAAAATGTAGGCATGGGTAGGATTGTGATTTTTCAGCTAAAAAGCAAGCAGGAAAACAGGCTAAAAACCGGGAAAACTAGCATCACCTGGGGGAAGGAACAAGCTCAGTGGGGCGAGAAAGGCAGGGCTGAGTTGTCTGCGTCCTGCCCCACCCGAATCAGTGCTGCACCCCTTTACCACCCGCAGGCTTTGAAAAGAGGGGAAAAATTCCGTCAATAGTAAATAGGGAGTCTTGAAGGTGTTTTTAGAATTCTCCCTTTCCCCTACCATTCCCTCCGTAATTTCTGGACCCAGTTATGGATGGTAGATGGGGCCAAGGTCTACCTTGAACTCCCAGTTAGTTAGATATTCAGCATTTTTCTGGCAACCTCTGGTTACCCAACATTTTATGAGAAAATGTAAAATGTGGTTCTGCAAGGGAGGATCAGCAGTGTTCGTTCCTCTTTAACACACGTGCTACAGTGGGGGAAGGTGGTCCTTTTCAGGCAAATTGTGTGGGGGTGAGGATGTAAGGCAGGAGGGGTTGGCCAGATTCCAGCTTCTAGCTCTCTCACAAAATCTAGGCTTTTTAGCCGTGAACTTAATTTATGCACTTAGTTTTTTAGCTTAGATTTACCTTCCAGCACATTTTCTTCCTTCCTGTTTTAAATAGAATTACATTTGGAAAGTTCTTTTGACCTTTCCTGTTCAGTCGTTGTGGGAATGTAAGGCCTCTTGTTACATTCCAGAAATGAAAATGTGAAGGACATTAAGACAATTGTACTGGTTTCACAAGTCACACAAAATATGGATGTGCTGCTGCTTTGCCTATATGTCTCGAGTACAGAAAAGAGCCCAAGGTGTAGGGAGGAAGCTTGGGATGTAGGAAGGAAAACTTATATTTTGGCTCCTTTGATGTTATTTTACACACACACACACACACACACACACACACACACACACACCCTAACTGTCCACTGTCAAAATAATTCTTCTTAGGATCCAGAGTTATTCAATTGTGTAGTATATGATTTCTTCAACCTGAACTAAACTGATGTAAAGAAATTGCATTAACTATCTCATGTGTATTTGTGTGTGCAGATAGATAGGCAGTAACTTTTTTTTTTTAACATCCAAATATGGGGCCCTGATGAATCACCTCTTATTCTAGTCAAACTGGTCAAACTACAGGAATTTTCCATTTCTCTCTATGTAGTTTCTTGCTGAGCATTACCCAAACTTCCATTCTAGCTGCCTTTTGTGTCAATACTTCTACAGATCCATAACCTCACACATTCTCTAGAAGTCCCCTCTTCACTGCTATCTGTGGGAGTCCAGAATTTATTTCTGTCTTCTATCTAAATCTGCAATATAGACTATAGGAGCTGTTGGCCTGAAGCTTTTCATAACACCAGTATGATTAGCTTAATACCCTTCACATTTTCATTTCTGGCACACACTGTCTCTCTACTACTAGGCAGGTGAATATGGTGATATTGTTGTTGTTGCTATTTTGTAATGTCAAATCAACTCTTAGCTGACCCCTCAATAGGTTTTCAGAGGCTTTATGTAGTAAGGGATTGCCCATCTTTCTCCTATGGAGCAGATGGTGGATTCTAACCACTGCCTTTGCAGGGTTGGCCGCACAATTCAGTTACCAGAGTTTTCTGGGAATAAAGTTATAGGGCCCCAAATCCTACCACTGAAGCAAGCAACCCAAAAATATCCACAGGAAATGCTTTTTTCCATGACTCAGACAGTCAACTACACATTGTGATCAGAAAGCACAGGACTGTAACTGAACCACCTTTTGGTTTCAATCTCCATTTGTGGATTAAAAAAAAATCTTCTATTTCTTTACCATTTCCTAATAAGAGTCACTTGAATTTTTATCTTTTTTTATATTGGATGCTCTCAATTATGGATTGTATTGTTGTTGTTCTTAAGTGTCTTCAAGTTCAACTCATATCAACCCCATGAACAACGGATTTGAACCTTGCCCTATTCTGTGTCAATTCATTGTCTCTGACACACTTGAGTCAATTGTTACAGTCACTTTTAGTCCACCTTTTAAAGGGTGGTCTTCTCTTTCATTGACCCTCCACCTTTCCAAGCATGATATCTTTTTCCAAGGATTGGTCCTTCTTAACAACATGCCCAAAGTGTATGAGACAAAGCTTTGCCATTTTTGCCTCTAAGGAACAGGCTGGCTTTACCTTCTCCAAGACATATCTGTTTGTTCTTTTGGCAGTCCATGGGATAGTCAGTACTCTTCTCCAACACCACACCTCAAAGGCATCAATACTTCTTCTGCCATCCTTTTTCATTGTCTAACTTTCAGATACTTGGACCAAGAGGCAGTCGTCAGAACAGAGCAGGGAGACACTGGATGGTTCAAAATCAAGAAAGGCGTCCGTCAGGGATGTATTTTGTCTCCATACCTTTTCAATCTGTATGCAGAACAGACCATCCGAGACACTGGGCTGTACGAGGAGGAATGTGGCATCAGGATTGGTGGAAGAATCGTCAACAACCTGCGTTATGCAGATGACACAACCCCGCTAGCTGAAACTGAGGAGGACCTGAAGCACTTGCTGCAGAAGGTCAAGGACTGCAGTCTTCAATATGGATTGAAGCTCAATATCAAGAAAACAAAGACTCTCACCACTGAGCCAATTGGCAGCATCAGTATGGATGGTGAAGAGATTGAGAAAGTTAATAGTTTTGGTTTACTTGGCTCCACAGTCAACAGTCTTGGTAACAGCAGCCAGGAAATCAAGAGATGAATTGCATTGGGAAAGTCAGCCTGTGAAGGACCTCTCAAGAGTACTGAAGTGCAATGTCGTCAGGCTGGAGACTAAGGTGCGCCTGATCCAGACTATAGTCTTTGCAAATACGTGCGATGCATCAGAGAGTTGGACAGTGAATAGGGATGATAGAAAGAGAATTGATGCCTTTGAGCTGTAGTGCTAGAGAAGAGTGTTGAATATACCATAGACTGCTAGGAGAACAAACAGGTTTGTCCTGGAGAGGGTGAAGCCAGAATGTTCCCTGGAGTCAAGGATTCTGAAGCTTCATCCGACATACTTTGGGCATGTTG